GGGAAAGGGCAGACACTGTTATTTTTGATAGAGCACCTCAAGAAGATCCCTTTTTTAAACACTACAATAATTGCCTTTCTCGATTAAAATCATGCCAGTCATGGACACCCACACACTAAGAATCATTTAAAGATATTTTAATATGTAGACATTTAATTTAATATATAAAGACATTAAATATGTAGAATATTTAATATATATTATATAATGTGTCTATATGTAAATTAGATGATATATATCAGATATATTTTCAAGATAGCCCAAAAGAATAATAACCAATATTTATATCTATAATTGTATACACTGGTAGTTTTAGTGATTAAAATTTCTTATAATAAAGTTTATCATGATCTATTAATTTTTCTGTCATCTTGTTTATTTTTTATTGTTTTTAATGAGCTACACATTTTTCTCTACTGCCCTCTTCTCCTCCTCTCCCCTTTCTACTCTCTCCTGTGACCTCAATGCTCCCAATTTACTCGAGAGATCTTATCTTTTTCTCCTTCCTATGTAGATCCATGTATGTAGCTCTTAGGATCCTCTTTGTTGTCTAGGTTCTCTGGAGTTGTGGACTGTAGACTAGTTTTGTTATGAGAATGAAAGGCAAAAGGCATAGGAAAAAAACATTTTCAGGTTTAGAAAACATAGGCTCTTTTCAGGTGAATCATGCATATTCTAAATGCAAGAAAAATTTATAAGAAAATGTTGAAAGTATTGTCCCACAGATGTTCATAAATAAAAGAAAACAATATTGCCACAGTCCAAATGAAAATATCTCTGTCTCAAGACCATATCAGACTTCTCCTCAAATTTAATTTCTCCATGGACAATCAAGTCTGAGAAGACAGAAAATACTGAGCTAAATTTCCAATAATGTTTTTGAGTTCATGAAACACTTTCATATACATTGTCTTCTTTGAGCTTCCAGAATTATTACCATCTTCCAACCTCACTACATCCTTAGGCAATTAATATAATGTTAGGTTAGGAGTATCAGCTCAGGGGCTATGGTCATGACAGATTTAAATATAAGATCCAAATTTCTTGAATTTCAGTCCAATGTACTTTCTATAATGCACAAGTATCTTACTTTTACCCAACTTCAAATGAAGCATGTGTTTAAAGATACAGTCTCTAATTTGTATTAATCACATTGTGCAGATTCTTGACCTTGACAAATTGGATAACTATAGGAGATTTCTAAGGTCCAGGACCTGAAATTTGAGAGGGGATATATTAATATTATAATAAAATATCATCAATATATGTCTTTATGTGGTTAAGCCCAGGCTATTGCCCAATATCTCTGTGTTTATGAGTTCCTTGTATTCTACTTTGCCTTCACATAGACTCTAACTCCTATTTAGTTGTTCCTTTATGAAAAAAATGTCCAAGAAAGTCATTTTCTAGTTGTGGTGCTGAAAGATATTTTGATTGAGAAAGTAATAATTTAGAACATGAAAGCTTTTGATAAATTTAATATAGAATGAGGACTTTGTCTATGGTAGAGAATAAGGATGAAAGCTCTACAAGGAAAATATTTTTGAAGTGGTTTTGTCTCGTGTTCTAAACAATGGAAAAGTGTGATTTGTGGAGAAAATTATGTGTGCTGGCTGGTTTTGTGTGTCAACCTGATACTAACTAGAGTCATCAGAGAGGAAGGGACCTCAGTGGAAGAAATGCCTCCATGAGACGCAGCTGTAAAGTATTTTCTCAAGTAGTGATCAAGGGGACAAGGCTCATCCTATTGTGGGTGGTGACACCCCTGGGACGGTGGTCCTGGATTCTATGAGAAGGCAGGTTGAGCAAGTCATGGGGAGCAGGCCAGTAAACAGCACCCCTCCATGGCCTGTGCATTAACTCCTGCCCTTTTTGAGTCTCTGTCCTCACTTCCTTCAGCAATGGCAGCAATGTTGAAGTGTAAGTCAAATAATCCCTTTCTTCCCCAACTTGCTTTTTGATGCTTCATTGCAGCAATATAAACCCTAACTAAAATACTGTGATATAGTTATAAGTGGATTGATTCATGTGTCTAGCGCCAGCATTGTATTTTCTATATCATTCTTCCCATACTTACTTTACAGGAAAAAACATACAATTCATACCATCAAAATTATAAATACCTGTATATATGATGAAAAAAATATAATTAAAATTTACATAACAAAGTTATATAATGTTTCTATAATTATTAAACACTGCAAGTAATGTAAAGAATATGGAATATATGTCAAAATTGAGTTTTTCCTGAGGTTGTATTTGTAGACATATTTGTAATTCAACATGTTAATTTTAGTTTATTTTAAGATCCTCCAGAGAGGCAGAACCAATGTGATGAAAGATAATTTATTAAGAGGATTAATGCATGTGATTATGGAAATTGAAACAAACCACAACAAGCTTTTGTGTGATAAACAACCAAGACAGTAGCAAGACTCAAAATCTTAGAACCAGGGAAACTTCTGGTGTAGCTCTCAATGAAGAAGTTGAAGACAAAAGAGATCTTAAATTACTGTTAGTGGCTATCTTTGAGTTCAAGGGCAAGAGAACTCTAGTCCTAGTATCCAAAACCAGGAAAAGAAGAGTAGGGTCTAGGACAAAAAGGGTAAATTTTCTAGTAATGACTGTTTTCCATTAGTGACTGCTCTGTCACTGTGATCAAAGTAATGGGTAATATAACTTTTTTTTTCTTTCTTTTTTTTTTATTGAGAAAAGGAGAAAAAAAAACAAGTTTCCACCTCCTCCCAGCCTCCCATTTCCCTCCCCCTCCTCCCCCCCTACGCCCCCTCCTCCCACCCTTCTCCCCCTCCCCCCACTCCTTTCCCCCTCCCTCTCCAGTCCAAAGAGCAGTCAGGGTTTTCTGCCCTGTGGTAAGACCTAGGACCTCCCACCTCCGTCCATATCTAGGAAGGTGAACATCCAAACTGGCTGGGCTCCCACAAAGCCATCACATTATGTAGGATCAAACCCCCGTGCCATTGTCCTTTGCGTATAACTTTTAAGGGGGAAAGATGCTTTTAGGCTTATGCATTCATAAAGTCCAGTTCCTGGTAGCTTTGTCCCCTGAAAAACTTGGGCAGAAAACATGGTGAGAGCAGGGCTGCAATGAAAGAAGCACTTCTTTATTTCTTGACATAGGAAATGAATAGCAAGTCACGCACAAAGGAGGACGGGAATAGCTCAAAGACCTATCACCAGAAACCTACTTATTCCAATAGGCTAAACCACCCACCCACCTTCCAGCAAACTCCACGTTTGCAATCACATAACATACCCCTCCAGGGTTTCAGTGGTTGTTTGAAAGCCCTTTTCTTTCTTTCTATTCTTTTTTTATTATTATTGAAAAAAATTTCTGCCGCCTCCTCCCCTCCCATTTCCTCCCCCACCCCCTACTCCTCTCCCCGTTCCCCCACTCCTGTCCCCCTCCGTCTCCAGTCCAAAGAGCAGTCAGGCTTCCCTGCCCTGTGAAAAGTCCAAGGTCCTCCCCACCCCATCCAGGTCCAGCAAGGTGAGCATCCAAACAGGCTAGGCTCCCACAAAGCCAGTACATGCAGTAGGATCAAAACCCAGTGCCATTGCCCTTGGCTTCTCATCAGCCCTCATTGTTCGCCATGTTCAGAGAGTCCGGTTATCCCATGCTTTTTCAGTCCCAGTCCAGCTGGCCTTGGTGAGCTCCAAATAGATCAGCCCCACTGTCTCAGTGGGTGGGTGCACCCCTCATGGTCCTGACTTCCTTGCTCATGTTCTCCCTCCTTCTGCTTCTCATTGGGACCTTGGGAGCTCAGTCCGGTGCTCCAATGTTGGTCTCTGTCTCTATCTCCATCCATCGCCAGATGAAGGTTCTATGGTGATATGCAAGATATTCATCAGTATGGCTATAGGATAGGGCCACTATCCTGAGTGAGGTAACCCAGACCCAAAAAGATGAAAGCCCTTTTGTAATCCAGTTTTCCTTAGAAATGTCACTGGGAACATAAACAGAGGTTTTCTTAACTAATCCCTGAGAAATTTATTAGTCTCATCAAGTTGATAATCAAGATTAACCGTCCCAGGACCAGGGAGATCGCTGAGTAAATAAATTGCTTACTACATAAGCAAGAGGACCAAGTTCAGATCCCCTTTACCTACACAAAAACCTGGACATGGCAGCCTGGCCCAACTGCAATAGTAACAAACAGGTTGCCAACTGAAAGAAGACACCAGATTTACTAAGAGACCATGCTGCAAAAATATTATAGAAGACACCTGGCATTGATCTCTGGTCTCCATACCTAGACACAAGTACACACCTTTACTTATACTAGAGAGGTGGGGAGAAGAGAGAAAAAAACAAGGAGGTGAATAGCCACACTCTCGCTTTTTAATTCCACCTGGGCACTCAACAGTGTGTACAATCTCAAATCAACCCATCACCTCTGATGCCAACCTCTTCTAAAAAAATCTTATATATGTGACCAGAAATAATGATGATCAGCTATGGTGGTATCCCTTAATCCTCTCAAGTCAACACCAAAATTTAACTAGGATTCTGTATTATTTTTCTCAAAATAGATCATAATAGGAAGAAACAAATTAAAGTCTATACAATCTAAATAGTGGACACTCTATTATTGATATACCTTCTCACTTATAAAGAATTAACATATGCTCTTAAATAATTTTAATTTTAAAGGCAAATTTTCATTAGAAATACTTAGTACTCTCAAAAAAGAAAAAATAATTAGGGATTATTCCATTTGATTCTTTTATGTCAGTTCTTGGGAGAGGTACAATATAATTAAAATGCTATAAAGTAATAATTTATTTACTTTTCAATTTTTATAATAGCTTGAATTTAATAATTTTCCTGAAGCTCTCATAATAACATTTTTTCTCACACGCAAGAATTGTTGGAAAATAGGCCACCTGTGAGTTTTCTTTTGTATGTGAACTGTCCATCCTTGTCTCACAATAAGAACAGGAAGAGATTTGCTCATTTGTTGTTTTTTTCTCTTTCTCAGGTAAACCTCTGAATATCCCATGCAAAGCATTCTTTGGATTCAGTGGAGAGTCTGGACCAATGATCTATTGGATGAAAGGCGAGAAGTTTATTGAAGAGCTGGCAGGTCACATTAGAGAAGGTGAAATAAGGTATAGGAGTCCAATTGTTTATTTTTCTTTGTTGTCTTTACAATTAGTCCGTGAATCATGCTAGGAGGAATTCTAACTAAAAAGTTTTCATTGCAATTTCAAGCCAGTCTATTCTCTAAGACCTGATATTTTGGAAAGATTAAGAGTGATGTCCTCCTTAAAAATGTACATTTGCAAAAACAAAGGCTTTTCTTCTCATGTCTAATAGTCATTTCTGAGATTTTTGGAAGATTTCCTCAAAATTTAATGATCCCCTTCAAGCTTTTGAGGCAAATTCCATGATCTTTTCCAAGTTTAGGCTACTGTTTCTACACTGGTAAGATCTGGGCTTTAAACTTTGCAGGTGGCATCTAAGTTTGATGGACAAATCTCTGCTCTTTCCTTGGGAATCGAACATCTTCCTATGTCATAAGTGTGAATCTGTGTTAGTGGTAGAAATCTGATGCTCTTCCACAATAACTGTTGGTTCCTGTTAGTGTTTCTTTTTTTTTTTGTCTCAGCATCCACTGCTTTCTGAAAGAAAGTGATGCTTCAATTTAGCACCTCTTTCAACGTTTTTCGCTGTCCTCTTATTGTTGTCCCATCTTAGTGTGTAGCTATCAGTTCAACTCATTTGGCTTTGTGTTTTTATTCTTTATTTTTGAGATTAAAATATAATTGCATCATTTCCTCATCCCTTTCCTCCCTCTGAACCCTCAATGCTCTCTTCTAAATTCGTGGCCTCTCTTTTTCAATAACTGCTGTTATATAATCTGTCTATATATTTAAATAGATATATATTCCTGAGTACATAAATACAACTTGCTCATTCTGCATAATGTTACTTGTATGTAATTTTTCAGAGTTGACTATATGGTACTGGATAACTAGTTGGTGTACTTTTCCCTGGGGTAGGTTATTTCTCCCACTCTCAGCATATCTTAGTTGCTTGTACTTTTGTATAGGGCTGGGCACTTTCTCCACCCACTTCAGGATATATGTTGTTATTATCCTTGTTTATCTCATGTTTGTGAAGCCATGTTAGTAAAACTTCATAGGTGGGTACATCCCTGACATCCATGGAAGATACAGTGTCACACCACAATCTTTCTTTTTGTCTCTTAGCAATCTTTCCATCTCTTCCAATGTTCCCTTAACCTCAGGTGTGTGGGTTGTTTTGTAGATGTAGCCATTGGAACTGGACTTCACAAATCCACAATTTTGATTGGTTGTAGTTGCCTGAAATCATCTTTGTATGTTGCAAAGAGAACTTTCTTTGGTGCAGGGTGAAGAATATACTTATCTTTGAGTATAAAGACAAATGTTCAGACTACAGTTAGGTATTGGTATGACAAATCTTCTTCTGTCCAGCCAACCAGCTCCCAAATAATAACAGAGACTGGCTGGCGATAGCTGAGATTTGTTCCTAACTAGTTCTTATAACTTAAATTGACCCATTTATATGACTCTATGTTCTATCACATGGCATTATCTCTCTTTCATCTTGCAGCCCCTGTATTGTCTCCATGTCTCCTGGCATCTCCTGTGCACCTAGATTCCTCCTCATTGTCCTTTCTTTCCCTGGAAATTTCAACTATAACTCTTGCCTAGCTAGTGGCTGTTCAGATTTTTATTATACTAATAACAGCAATACATCTACCCACACTGTAAAAATATCCCACGTTTCCTTCTTTTTGTCTAAATAAAAAGGAAAGGTTTTAACTTGAACAAGGTAAAACTATATACAATGAGAACAATTATCAAGTAAGAATTATATTCACAAAGTTTAGTTCATATGTACTTGGCAAATTTGGAGAAAGTACTGTATTGTCTATCCTATCTAAGTGAATTCAAAGTTTTGTATCTAACTTTATATTATAACTTGTATTACCATCTTAAAAATATCTGTGTAGACGTAAAAATATCTGATTAGATAAACAATTTAACTTTTATGTTTCTCAACCTTAAAAACTTTACATCTCTTACGTAAGTTTATTTTCTGAATTTAGAAACAAGGAAAGCTATAAAACTATAACTATTTAGTCTTCAACCCCATCAAAAATCCAAGAAGGATATAATATTACCTGAACAAACAGGAAGTGTACTTCCAAAAGTACAGAAAAGACAGAAACAGCTGACTGCCTGGACAGTCACTCAAAATTCCTCTGCAAGGCTGAGACATCCATATTTGGTTTACAGACATAGAATATTTGACAGACTTTTCTGTGAATCAGGATTTTGAAGGATTGTACTATCTTGTATTGGGAAAGTTTAGAAGTTGTTTTCTTTTGTGTCCTGCTTGTCCGGTTTTGACAGCATACAGTCAGTAGTCAAGGTAAGGAAAGTTTCCTGCCCAAATATATGTTGGTTTAGCTTATCAGCCTGTACAATGAAATGTTTCTCTGTATTTAGCTTATTCACAGTCAAAAAAATTCAAAGAAAATACACACACACACACACACACACACATATATATATATCCCACACTTTCTGTGTATATTCCATCTTTACATGGCTTATTTTTCTTACTCTATTATATTTTTTTACAAGTTAGGTATGTATTTTATTATCTTTACTCCTTTATCTATGACTGTATGTACTCTTTTATATTATAATTATTTGTACTCATTTTCTTCTCTCTCCCAAGCCTACATACATTTATTCAACACTGTAACTCGTTTAGAGGTCTTTTTCATCTGAATCTGTCTTTATTGTATGCTTATCTATAATTTGTTTCTGACCAGGAATGCTTTTTTAAAATGCTAAGCAGGCATGGATAGGACCAACTACATGGTACTGCCTATTGGCTCTGCCCAGTCCAACATGGTGGAGGCATGTTCACTGCCTCTGAGAGCCAAGCACACCACTCCACTCCAGCTACAGGGTTGAGTGGGTCTATGTCACCATTAAGCATTTTGCAACACACTTTTTACAGACCCCCATTTACATGCTTGGCCTCCTGAAAGATCCAGAGCTGTTCATGCAATTAGCATGAACCAAAAAGCCCACCCCTAAAGAAGCTGAGCAGCCTTTGCTGCCAATGCTGAGTCAAAACGTCCTCTTATTTATTTATATTTGTTGTTTTTTTGTTTTGTTTTGTTTCTGTTGGTTAAATTTTTTATTTGATCATATTACTAAGCAATAATGCAGACATTTTATTTTTTATATGTTATTTTTTCATTTATTAAAAATTTTCACCTCCTCCCATTTCCCTTCCATTCCCCCCACTCTCTCTTCCCCCTCCCTCTCCAGTCCTAAGAGAAGTCAGGGTACCCTGTCCTGTGGGAAGTCCAAAGCCCTCCTCCTTCATCTAGGCCTAGGAAGGTGTGCATCCAAACAGACTAGGATCCCAAAAAGCCAGTACATGCAGTAAAATCAAAACCCAGTGCCATTACCATTGCCTTCTCAGTTAGCCCCCATTGTCAGCCAAGAGAGTCCAGTTTGATCACATGCTTGTTTTGCCCCAGTCCAGCTGGTCTTGGTGAGCTCCCACTAGATCAGTCACACTGTCTCAGTGGGTGGACACACCCCTCACGGTCCTAACTTCCTTGCTCATCTACTCCATCCGTCTGCTCTTCATCTGGACCTTGGGAGCTCAGCCCAGTGCTCCAATGTGGGTCTCTGCCTCTATCTCCATCCATCGCCAGATGAAGGTTCTATGGTGATATGCAAGATATTCATCAGTGTGGATATGGGAGAAGGCCAGTTCAGGCACCCTCTCCTCTGCTGCCCAAGGACCTAGCTGGGAACATCCCCTTGGTGCCCTTCAATGGAAGAATGGATAAAGAAGGTGTGGCAATATACACATTAGAGTTCTACTCAGCGGTTAAAAAAAAAAAAATAAATGACATCTTGAATTTTGCTTGCAAATGGCTGGAAATAGAAAACACTTTACTGAGTGATATAACCCAGACCCAAAAAGATGAATATGGTTTACCAATAAGGCTCCATCCAGCATCTGTGGCTTTCAATGACTACATGGCATCTCCCTGACTCAGTGTTCTTTTCTCCTCTATCTCTGCTTGGAATTCCTGCTGTGCTCTATTCTGCACTGCCATAGGCCCAAAGCAGACTCTTTATCAACCAATGACAATAAAACACATTCACAGCATACAGAGGGGAATCCCACATCACCAAATAATTATACAGAGACTTATTATCAACTATGAAAGTTCCCCCTATAGCTTAGGCTTGTTCCTAACTAGCTCTTATAACCTAAATTTACCCATTTATATTAATCTATGTTCTATGACATGGTATTCCCTCTCTTCCATTTTGTGCCCCCTATTTCGTCCCCCATGTCTCTTGGCATCTCCCGTGTACCTAGATCCCTCCTCCTCTTCCTTTCTCTCCATGGAAACCTTGCCTATCTCTCCTGACTAACTATTGGCTGTTCAGCTTTTTATTACACCAGTCACAGCAATACATATTCACACAGTGTATAAGCATCACACATCAGATTGAGTTGAAATATCTCCTCATTTGTGCAATAGAAAGATGAACATTCTTTCAGTCTGATATATAGTGGCTATTGATAGGTGAGAGCACACTTTCCTTTCATTCCCACCAAGCATCATGCAGTAGAAATAAGCATAATTTTCATAGAACTTGTAATATGTAATTTCCTATATTTTTTCTGAGACAAAGTCTTGTTATGTTAGTCAGGCTAGTCTTAGACTTTCTGTGCTCAATGGATCCTCCCACTCCAGCAACCCAAAATAGATAGAACTGTAGGAATATGTGCCCCATACTTTGCTCACACTGTAAAATACTTAACCATAATTAGTATTATTTATAATTACTCCTGTGACAATCAGTCTTCATGTGTTTACTCAATAATTCTAACCTATAGATTCGTAATTGTGAGGATTCATAATCTCCAAAATCACATATTAAAATTGACAATAGAGGTATATTTCTGGGAAAAATATTTTAGGAAAGTATATTTGATGTCAGCAGTTATCAAAAAAATCAAAATCATATGCATCCACTTCATACTCCTTAGGATGCCTTAAATAAAA